GATGACAGATTAAGAGCAGCCAGGGGAAGTCAGCAGAAATTCTCCTAAGGTGGAGTCTTAAGTGACATCCAGCCTCATCTTACAAAGCTTGGTCTCATACCCATTGATTAGACCCAGCATTAGACCACAGCAACTCATGGTGAGTCTGGCTCTGCCCCCTGCCTAGACTAGGGCTTTAGAATAGAGCTGAGAATGCACAGCCTTCTCCCTCTTCTGTATGTGGAGAAATTAGAGAAGCTGAACTTTCCTGGCAGACAGCTGAAATCAGAGCCAAGATGTCTGACTTCCCTCAGCTGGGGCTCTGTCTCTATGTTCTCTACTTGCCTTCTGCCTCGACTTCCCATAAATAACCAAGTCAGCTAAGATTTGGTTTGACTCTACACATCCAAGGCCCTGGTTCCCAACTCCTCCCTTGTCCCTACCGGCTGGCTCGCTGGCTCGTGGTTGGCAGAAAAACAGGGTAGTGTGGGGCAAGTTACAGAGCCCTCTGCCCAGCTCTGCCTGCCCTCTGACTAAGCCTCCTCATCTTCCCCAGTGAAACAAACAATGCATTTGAATAAGAAACGATTTGCTTTGTAATACAACTAGGCTAGGAGTGTGAAGGAAGTCAGGAACTTGCAGTATTTTGGCAATTTCCACTCCATAACACCCAATAAAAGTAACTCTGTAGAAATTTATGCAAAGGGTTATCTTATAAGTATTTCTCAGCTCTATAGAAATTATATTGTTTATACCTCTTTAGGACCTCAAGATATAATACATGAAGATTCACAGTAAAAGAGAATAGCAATCAAATTGCCACAGTGATATTACGTATGCATTCTTTTCCTGTAGCTTAAAAGTTATTTATAATTGTCATACCTTTCATAATGATACTACAATTTTAAGATTGACAAATGAAGAAACTGTTATTATACCAGTTAAGTTTCAAAATGCAGAATGTAACCAGCCACGGATGGCTATTCTGTTGCTCAGGGGTTTCCTTTAACTTGTGAAGTCTTGGTATGTCTTCAAAATACACAGCCACTGTGCGGAGATGGGAAATAAGCCCATCTCTTAGCTATCCTATGGTCTCCACACAATTCTTAGAGAATTTTCAGAACATTACTGTTGGCCCCCGACCTGTACATGTGATTTTCTGACGCAGGGGTGGTATGAATGCAATGTGCACACGGTGGAAGTCACACTTGGAACTTTGATCTTCTGGTCTCTAGTCAAAAACTCTCCTCTCAGGCAACGCTGGGCCCTGCAGCTCCCTGCCTGCCATGTGATTCTAAGAGCAGAAGACTGCACCGTGTTGCTGAACGATGGTGTTCATTGGCATAGCAACAGACAGTAATTTTCTCTGTCTTCTCTTGTCCTGGTAAGTGTGTGCAATGTGTGGATGCATGTGTAGCCACATGTGTGTGTGTGTGCACATACGTAGGTCGCAGTAACTTCCGGCTATGCTCCTCTATTGCTCCCCACCTTGATTTCTGATACAAGTTTCTCACTAGACCTGGAGCTTGCTGTTTCAGTGAGTCCCCTGCCTGTTCCCACTGTCACCTAAGGGTTACAGGCACATGCCACCATGGGAAGCTGCTAGAACAGCAGCTGGAACAGCAAGTATTCACTGAGGCACCTCCACAGTCTTTTTCACTTTTTAAGGCAAGATGGGAACTCCCGAAGCCGGCTAAGCTAATCTTGCATTTACACTGTAGCTCAGGCAGGCCTTGACCTAGCTTCCTTCTGTCTCAACTTACAGGGTGGATGGGATTCCAGGCCCGGCCCACGTTCACTTTCTGTCTTTTCAAATTCTGTTGTATTTATGTGTAGGTAGTTCTTCTTTGTTGTCTCAGGTAATGTTCCAAAGGTCATTTGGGGAAAAGTAATAAACAGACAACACAGAAGACAAGAATCCATGGAAACAACAGGTAGGTTAGGAGCTGAGGATCAGGAAACCTTAGGTTCTAATTAACTTAAAACAGGAAATCCAACACCCACCTGCACAAACCTACAGCAGCAGTACTCACAACCACCACCCAAAACTGGAAGCTACCTGGCCATCCATCAATGGGTAATCAGATAAAGAAAATGTGCCATGCACAATGGAATATTACTCAGCCTTAAAAAGGAAAGAAATCCTTTGAAGATTACAAGGATGGGCCCTGGGGATGTTGAGTGACATAAAGACAAACATAAGTGTGACCTGATGCATGCAAGGTCCCTATAATAGAGTCACTAAGTTTCAATAGACTGGAGATTCCTTGAGGATAGAGTTTGTTGTTTAAGGAATGGATACATTCTGGAGAAAGGAGGATGTGTGGCATGGAAGTGTTTTCAAATGAGTGACTGAGTTTTCTGAGTGGGCAGTGGCTACAGCTGAAAGCTGCCAAGGTTTGAGAAGAGAAGCTGATGACTTCCCTGGAGGGGTTGAGAAAGGGTGAAACTGAAGACATTCAAGTACAAGGAACGGTGTACAAAGGGGAAATCTGGCTAAAGAGTAGGAGCGTTGTGATGCTCCAGATACAGGTATGTGAGGAAGCATTCACCCCTGTGTTCCTGAAGCATTCATTGTTCACACCTGTGCTCCTGCAGCATTGTTGCTCTTCCCGGGAGAAGCCAAGTCCAGAGAAGAGAGACATATACATGAGCATGGGAAAACAGGGCTCCATTTCACAAATGTTAGGGAATTGGTCTGAGCAGGTGTGATTTGAGGGGATGTGGTCAGATGTAAAAATCTTGTAAGCAAGCAAGCTCAGGAAGTGATGTTCATGCTCTTGACCACTGAAGGGTAAGGGGGGAAATGGAGATAAACAGGCTCCCTTTAAGTGGTGCTGGGGTTGGGAGGGGCAGAACCCTGGGTATCACAGCAGGGTCAGGGGCTCTGGAGAGAGGGCTGGCAGTTTCAAGCACACAGTGGGAGGTAAGAAAGTTACTAGTTACTTGCCTGGGAACCAGGGGTCAGGAGCAATGGCCAACTCTCTTTATATTCCCCCTCCCCCCCCCCTGTTGATTCTCCATGAAATGAGGAAAACTGCCTGTTTCCTGTCCAAAAAAGGTATGTTCGTGGGTGTGCACTCATTCGAGCGTGCATCGGGGGAGAGGTGGTGATCTATACTTCTAGCTCTTCTCTGGATCTTCAGTATCATTACCAGACACAAAATCCCTGGGCAAGCACAGTTCATCTCTCAAATCAGCTTCATGTGTTCAAATAAATGGCACTTTCACTTCTACTATGTTAATCAGAGCAAATGAAAATCAAACCTAAGCAGGTCAACAGCAAATCTTAATTTGCATCTCTAAAAATAGGTGTTCAATCTCAGCGAAACACAAAACAGAACTGGTCGCCACTTAAAACATTTGACTTGTAAATAAATTTTAAGCAATTATCAAACTACTATGCATTTGTTCAATGTGCTTACAACAAATTAAAAACAAATGAATTCAAATTGTCCTTTTCCATTTAATAAAACACACTGACACTCAAGTAGACATGTTTAACATACTCAGTGCACTGAATGGTGGTTAGAAATAATATATGCAGTGTGTGTGTAGTGTGTGTAGGGGGTGCTTTCCCATGCACACC